AACCATTCACTCTCTCACTCACACCTAGGGACAATTTAGAGTTACCATTCAGCCTAACATGCATGTTTTTGATCTGTGGGAGGAAACCGGAGTACCCGGAGAAAACCCACGCATGCACGGAGAGAACATGCAAACTCCACCCAGAAAGGCCCCTGGACCCTGTTTTTGATTTGATTTCTATAAACAAAACCTGTTTCTGTGCTGTTGATCCCTGCAGCACTCTCTGCAGGCCGTAGTGAGCTGGATGAGCTGCAGGAGGAAGTACTGAAGAGAGCAAGAGAGGAGGAGCAGCAGAGACAGCAGGAGAAGGAGAAGGAGGAGGCGCTCGGATTCAACCCAAGACCCAGCAAATACCTGGACCTGGACCAGCTGCAGATCCAAGGTCCCAAAAATAAACAGAATGTTTTAATGATTTTACAGAATCATCCTTAGACTGTTGATGTTTTAGTTGATCTGTTGACTGAGTGCCATGCTGTTAGATGGATGTGTGTGTGTTTGTGTGTGTGTGTGTGTCAGCAGATGTGTTGAACAGCAGGAATCTTTCACACTGATCAGCTGAAAAGACTCAAACACAAAAGAAACGATGAACAAACAGTAGAGCAGCTGTTGTTGCTTCATACTGTCATTGTTAAAGTTTGTGTTAATGTGTGTGTGTGCATGTGTTTGAAGGTAAAAACGACAGCTTTGACAGGTGTGTGTCAGAGGCGGAGCTTCTTCTGGACCAATCGCTGCGTTTGGAGCAGGCGGGTGAAGTCGCAGCAGCTCTGTCAGCGGTCAACGAAGCCGTCTGTAAGCTCCTCCCACTGACTGACACCGTCTCCAATCCAAAGAACAGTGAAAACAAACATGCAGCAAATAAGACGCTTTTTTATTTATATTTTTATATGCAACACATGCTTCTTTTCTTAGTTTCTGAACATTTAGACTTCATGTGAAATGTTTCATCTGTCAGCATTGACAGACTCGTCACACTCTTAATTTTATTTTATTTTTTAAACTTTAGCTGATTTTTTTTTTTTTTTAAACCCTTGTTAAGAGACAATAAGCAAGAATTAAAAACGGACAAGGTGCTGAACTGAGCATCCTGCAGAGCAACATCCCAACTGAGCAGCATCATGTTCCTGAAACCTTCCTCTTTCTTTGATGCTAAATTAAATTTTTTGGTTCTACTTTAGGACAACCAGGGTTTTATTCTGAAAGAACCTATTCTGATTTCTATTAGTAAATAATATTTATTATTAAATAACATCTGTCTCTGCCAGAGCCTGAAAACAAACAGCTGATATGTTTTAAATGGTACTTACATAGAGCCTTTCTATCTAATCAAGATACTCGAAGCTCTTTACAACACAATCTGTGCCCTCATTTACCTCCACACACATTCATACATCACTCTGTTACATCTCTACAAAGATAATGGAACAAATCTTTCTAAAGAGAATAATTAATTGGCTTTAGATCACGTTCATACACCGATGGGACACGCATCAGAGGCAATGAGGGCTTCAGTGTCTTCTTGCTCAGGACACTTCAGCATGTGACTGCTGGTGGAATCAAACCTACAACTCTCACTGAAGGACAACTGCTCTAATCACTCAGCCACAGCTGCCCCCAACCTTTTAGATGTTTCAGACATAAATTGTAGATTCATGTCAGGGAGAACAGCATGTTGGCTAAAGGAACAGTTTGAACAAGTGAAGTGGTTCTGTTTAAAAGTTAGAGCTAATAAATATTTTGCTTGGTGTCGATAGCTCTTTGAACGACCTCAGTTTAAAGAAATAGCATTTAATTCTGACCCAACTGATGATGTAACCAAAAATTCAAATGCAGCCAAGACCAACCTTGATTTCTGCCAACTTAAAACAGTTTCAGTTTTCTAAATTTTACAGTGTTTTGTGAGAATGTAATTATTTTTATCTTTACCTCACCATCAATTTTACATTGCATGATTATTTCAGCCCTCTGGATACCCATTAAAGCTAGTCTGTAAGAAACCATAGAGCTCAATTCAATTCAGTTTATTTATATAGTGCCAACTCACAACAAAGTTGTCTCAGGGCACTTTACAGGAGCATTCACATTTATAGAAAAGCCAATTAGTAAAGTTCTCTATCTACACAAGGAAGCCAGCAGGCTCGTTGAATCTTGACTTTGTTGCAGTCTCCCATCCTGAGCAAACACAGTGGCAACAGTGGAAAGGAAAAACTCCCTTTTAACAGTTAAGACTCTGGCAGCAGCATTTTGGATCAACTGAAGATGTTTTAAGGAAGTATTTGGACACCCAGATAATAAACCATTGCAATAGTCCAGTCTAGACATGACTAATGCATGGACCAGTTTTTCGGCATCATTTTTAAATAAGATGTTTCTAATTTTAGTGATGTTATGCAGGTGGAGGAAGGTGGTTTTAGTAACGTTTTTAATGTGGGGGACAAAAGACATGTCCTGGTCAAAAATAACACCAAGATTTTTAACATAAGAGCTGGAGGACAGATTAATGTCATCTGAGGAGGGAGAAAGACTGAAAAATTTAAAAGTTTAATGGAAGAAAGTTGTGTAAAAGGAAATTGTCTGTGACGTAATGGTTTCTTTACTAGTGCTCGCATGATTTCCTGTTAAAAGTTTTGAGATTTAAGTTTAAAGATGGCAGCTGTCCACTAAGGTCTTTGCTACTTTCACACTGCCCTTAGCTCGTCAGTCCTGTCAGACTAGCTGTTCAAAGAGCTTTCTGCAACAGGTAAGATGTAAATTATTTGTGATTAAAAGAAACACAAATGGTCCCAAATGTTTAACCAGGAGTGTGTGCGCTGTCTTGACTCCAAACTGTCTCATTAGAGTGATCCTTGCTCTGAAACTTGTTAGTTTTATTTGTAAAAAATGGAGGGTCCACACTGTACCTGTGTTTCAGTTTAGCGTAACTTCTATTCCAAACAAGCCTCAGTGTTCACCATGATCAAACTGTTGCTTACACACCAACAAAATGCAAAACAGTTGACTTGGTTTTACTTTTTTACTTCAGTTGAGTTGATTTCTTTTCTGTGTATAATTTTAACAAACCATGTTATAAAAACACTATTTTATTTCTTATTTGCTTTAGAATATTTTGCATTAAATCATAAGTTATTATTTCTGCATTTTTATTTTTCATTTTAGTCATGTTTTCTTCATTTCTTTGTTTTCTTTTTTCTGTGTTTTGTATATTTTTCTGTTCTTGTGTTACCATACCAACGCCTTGCTGCAGCCAAGCTGCAGTCAGTGGTGGCTGGGGGCGGAGCTAGTAGTAACAGCCGGCTGCAGCGCTGCTTGAGGAGAGCCCGCAGCCTGCAGCAACGCATGCAGCTGCAGCAGCAGTGGTGTAACTCAGAGGCAGGAAAACAGCAACCAGAGCAACAGCAGGAGGAGCAGCAGCTCCAGGAGCATTCCAGGTACCACCTGCACTCTGTCAGCCAATCAGATGCCAGGCAGCTGCAGTCATTTGGGGTCAGGTGCAGGTCATATTGTAGTTTAGGAGAACACAATATTTACAGTCATGGACAAAAAGAGTCCATCCTTTTCACAGTTCTATAATACAACTAGCGTGCACACTGCCCATCCCGTCCACTGGTTACATTTGCAACATCGTGGCCAAGATGGCGTCCAAAACAGCCAACTGCACACATCTGACAAAACTACTGTTTAATTAATAACAAGCCCTACAGGATCTGCCACAAAAAAAAAAAAAATCTTTTAAAATAGCTTCATGTAATTCATAATGAATGTTAATTTCATATAGCACTTATGTAAACCGCTAGATCTTGGATAAGAATATGTATTAAAATATATTGTATTACTAATGATGATCTAAACTAGACCCGAAGTCATTCAGTAATTAACGATTGACTTCTAATGATTTCAAGACATTTTATAGGACTTCAACTAGATGATGAAGTAAAAAGTAACTTTATGAACGTGTAACTTTTGAATATGTAGGCTAATAGTAGTCATCAGTCTTTAATCTGTATCTAAGCTTAAAAAGTAAATTTTCAGAATCCATTCAAAGAGAGCAGATTTGATAATTTGTACTAAATTGTAGCATGATTCAGTGTGTATAGTATATTTACTGCTAGAATCTGCATAGCAACAAATGCCACAGCAGCTAAAATCTACGAGCCAATTCAATAATTAACAGCAATTACATCGGCTTTATAGGCTACTTTTAAACAGTTACATTATTAGCTTCAGTTCTGGTCAGATCACATTCACATTGAGGAAAATATGATAAAATCTGCTGACCTGTGAAAGGAGACACGTTTTCCATTTTCTCTTCTGTTGCCATATCACACAGCTTTCTGGCATTTCTACATTTTCATATACATTCTATACATTCATATATTAAAAAAAAAAAGCATTCTAATGTTTTATTATTATGTTGCATATATTTTAATAAATTTTTTACATTTTTTACAGTCAGCCTTTACTCAGGGCTATTTAGACAATATCTACCAAAACACCAAGTGCAGATGTTTGCCCATTTATGTTCATTTACTATATATATATATATATATATATATATATATATATATATATATTTATTTATTTATTTATTTTTGCAGCACATCTGGAATATATTCACAGCACTTGACTTTTTCAACATTTTCTTTTTCCAAAGTGTATTAAATTAATCTCTTTTCTCAAAATTCTACACACATTATCCCATGATGACAATGTGAAACAAGATTTTT